CGTCTTACCTGGGCTGAAGCTCTTCTTCTGCCGCTTTGCCCTCGTGCTCAGTTTTATAACATACTTAGAGTTCCTCACCTTTGGCATAGAATTTGACTACTTAAAAAGAGTAATAGAATTAGCTTAGTATCTTCTGCAAATCCGAAGATTTCCTTGTGTGATCCTTCTTTGGGTCACTGAATTTGAATAAACCTGATTCCTTGGGAATCCAGAAGAGAAAAGTAACTGTTAAGCCCTACTTGTGCTTCATATCCCTTGAGCAACTTTCAGTCCTCAAAAAGCCCCTTTTTCCAATTCCATTCGAACTTAATTTATTCAGTGGTCTGTAGTGGAAAGCCTTGTCAAAGGCCTTCTGAAAATCCGAGTCCCCCAGATCTTCATTTATCCACATGCTTTCCTCTCCACCCACTGAACTCCCTGCAGATAGTAAGACAGTATTTCCCTTTACAAAAGCTCTGTTGACTTTTTCCCATCAGCTGTGTTACAGGCTCAGTGATATTATTCTTCAGTATGGACTCTACTGTCTTATTAGGTTGGAAGTTAGTATCAGAGGGCCTTTCAGGACCGCCAATGCCATCTAGTCCACATGACTTAATGATTTGTCTAATCTAGTACTTCCTGTGTATGTGCTTCAGGTTGATGTAGCTGTTCGGATGTTATTAAGAACATGTGTGAGATACTGTCTCATCATCTTCATTACTAAAGATAGATGCCAAGAATTTGATGAGTTTCTTTGCTATAATCTCCTTGAGTACTCTCATACCTCTGTTGAAAAATGATCCTGCCAACCTCCTAGCTGTCTTTCATCTTTCAAAGTATTTAAGGAACGTTTTAGTCTCAGTGTGAGCATCTGTTGCAAGGTGATCTTAAAATTGTTCTTCACCCTCTTAATGTCCAGCTTATGTTTGACCTGTCGTGCTTTATGGCCTTTCCTGTTCTCATTTTCATTCTCCTCATTTTCATAAATTTGCTGATGTTATTTTCTGTACTCTCCTGACACATTTTGAGCAGCACGTCCACTTATATACCTGAAAAGGAGTATAGAGAAGAGTTTTATTTTTAATCATTAAAGTGGTTTAGTTTGCAGCTGCCAGTAATACATCCATAGTCAGTTTACTGTTTTCTTTTCTAAATTCAGAGTATTTTCTGAATTCAAAATATAATTTATGAATATTTAGGGCCACGAAGATGCTCAGGGGGCTGGAGCACCTCCCCTGTGAGGACAAGCTGAGAGAGTTGAGGTTGTTGAGCCTGGAGAAGGCTCTGGGGAGACCTTCTAGCAGCCTCCTAGTACTTAAAGGGGGCTACAGGAAAGGTGGGGAGGGACTCTTTATCTGGGAGTGTAGGGATAGGATGAGGGGTAATGGCTTTAAACTGAAAGAGGGCAGATTTAGATTAGATACTTGAAAGAAATTCTTTACTGTGTGGGGTGGTGAGGCATTGGAACAGGTTGCCCAGAGAAGCTTGTAGATGCCTCCTCCCTGGAAGGGTTCAAGGCCAGGTTGGACGGGGCTTGGAGCAACCTGATTTAGTGGAAGGTGTCCCTGCCCATGGAAGCGGGGTTGGAACTAGATGATCTTTAAAGTCCCTTCCAACCCAAACCATTCTATGATTCTTCTTTCTTTGTGTCTTTCTAGCAACAGCAGAAGTAAAAATTTGACTTCTGTGCAAATACGTGAATTTACAAACTGAGTGAATTAGAAGTAAGGCATTGTGGTTGCCTGCCTTGAAAATTCAAAATTAACAGTTTTCATTTTTAAGTGCTATATATTGAATATTTGAAAATCTGCTGATAAAAAGGATGATGCCTCTCATTTTTTAGTGATCAAAATACCCACAAATCACATTTATTTTTGTCATTTAGAATATGGTGACATAGAGTTGCATTCAACATTCTTGGATAATTGAATATATATAGATACCTTCTTAATTTTATGAAATGTGGCTATGGTTTTTATAATTAGATTTCTTCAGGAAAATATACCACTGTGGAGTACTGTGATGTTGTGACTGTAATATTGTGAATTAAAATTTTGAATTGTTACTGACTAAAGTAGTAAAAAATGTTAGTGATTCTATAATAGTGACTCTATTCTGTTCTGTTCAGTTCAGTTTTATTCTTATTATAGTCCCATATGTCTGGAGGGGTGTTTTATTACTAGATGATACAAGATGATGTATAGCGAAGTCAGAGGTTTTGGCAAGCAGATGAGAGTTGATTCTGTAAAAGTGACAAGTAGCATGGGATTGTGGGAGGTGCACTTCTTATTTCCCTTAAATTGCGATAGAGAAGTAGTTAACAGAACTGGCAGTGATTATTGCTTATGCTTCAGATTTAATGTCCAGTTGAGATTAATTAGAAGGTTTCTCAGAACAGCGAGGTCTTGGAGCACTGTCTTAATTGCTGTCAGGAGAGGAGAAGGTACTGATTGCCTTTTTAAGGTGTAGGCCTGATTAATGCTTTTGAAAAACTTTACATGACTTGGTTGTAGGCAATAACGTGGACCCAAATTCAACAACCTGAGAGATCCCTCCCAATCTCAAATTACTGTAAGTGCTGTGACTTGTGTGTAGATTAAGGAAAGCATTATTAGCTGATTACCTAATGACTCAGTTGGCAGCTAGAAGGTTTTTGCACATTTTAAAGGCTAAATGAAGTCAATTAAGGATATCAGGCCAAAGCTCAGTTTTGATGCCTGCAGCCACGGAGTTGTGTGTTCAAGATGCTCAAACCTCAGCATCAGGAAAATTGGGAAATTGGTGGTAAAATGTAAACTTCAGACATAGACTTCATTGAAGGACTTGCATTTCTTGAGTAAATGTTTACCAGTCTAGTATTTTTTTAACATTTTGATGCCAAAATACCTTCTGTGGAGCCTGCATGTTTATTTACTGCCAACTTTAGGGAATTAATTTTAAATGGCTGATTTGCAAAATAAATTTAATTTTGAAGCTATTGATTTGATTTTAGGGATACTGGTGTTTTAAGGGGTGAGTAGAAATAGGGGGAAATGGCTTATGTAGGCATAAAAATTACAAGAAAGAGTTAATTAATTCTTTAGTGAGTAATAGCTAGCTCAAGGTTCATGGAGATTTATGTTCTCTGAATGGATTTTAAAATTCCTGAAAATACTCAGTATAATGTATGTTCTGTGTCTCTTAGTACACATAGTGTGGTCTAGGGAACGTGGATTTCCTTCCATTTTGGAAATTTTTCCAGTAAGTCAATGCCTGCTCTGTATGTGGAGTACTGTTTCCCTGGAACAGAATTTCTCTGGTCTTACACCTTCCGACCCTTGACAAACACATTAGTCATCTACTCCCTTCCTGTGTGTTGAGCTTCCAAAATCTCAGAGAGGGATATGAAACAGAAGTGCTGCATGGATACAACAAACAGCTTTGAATAAGTGCTTATATTTGCTAACTGATTAAAACTATGTTGTGTAAAGCTAACTTATCTGAGAGCCTGGTCAGAAAATTGCATGCAATCTTAAAATGGTGTGTGCTGAGCAGACCCTTTCAGCTGAGAATTACTATACCTTAGCTAGAGCAGGAGGGCTGATCAGATGTGTTGGTCAAGGTTGTTGGCATGTGAAGTAAAGTGAGATAAATCCAAACTTTCAGCTTCAAAGTTTCATCTGAGGGGGTTGCTTTTTTAAGAGTATTAATTCAAGTGCTTTGTGATTGTTGGACTATATTTTTAGTTTGTGATGTTTGGAGTATCTAAACGAATGGTGCAATGTAGGTGCATAACAGTGATGTTTCTCATTTCAAGGAAATGGTAAGAACACTAAAGTACTTTCTGTTTTGTTTGTTTTTTTTTTTTTTTTGGTGTTGTTTTTTCTATTTTTATTACTTGCATTAAAGTTAAGGAGAACTTGACATCTAATAACAGAAGATGATGTTTATGAACTCTAGGTCAGGTTTTGGTTAAGTCTCTAAAAGGTCTAGAATAGCTTCAAATGATGTTTATATCACATTGTCTAGAAATCCTATTATAAGATTCGCATCACATTATTACACAACAAATTGGAAATACTCTGGAAATATTAGAGACAATTTTGGAATATAATATCCAAATGTCCTTGCTTTTTCTTGTACCCTTTGTGTGCTTCACAGTTAATTTTGAGACTCATACAATTAGTATGCTGTGTCATGTCATTTTGTCTGATTAAGTGGAGAATTTCTGTAATCAGTTGGATGAATCCCACACGCGCTGGTGAAAGCAGCATACACATTTAAAATATACTAATTTGTGTCTTACTCATTTCAAAAAATGGGCTTTATGTAGGCAGGGTTCAGTCTGCAGTGAAAGGTTTGGATCAGTGAATTGTTTTTTGACTAAAAATACTTGCCTGGTAAAAATATCCCTAGCTGTTACTGTTCTCACACTTTCCATATAATGATTATTCCTAATGGTAAGCTGATTTCATGTAGAAGGCTTCAGTTCAGCAACACACTTGAAGTCATGCATAACTTGCATCATACTGGATCATTCCCTCTATTTTTAAAGGCATAATTCATGTGCTTGAATCAGACACACACTTAAGTACCTTGTTGAATTAGTGCCTATGTGGAAATTGGTTTTCTCCTCAATTTAATCAAAATTGGAACTGGAAATTATTTTGTGTAGATGGTTTTTAGCGTTTGTTTTCTGAATTATGCCACCATCCATTGTTGCTTACTTTAATATTTGTGGGTTTGCAGCTATCCAGACAGTTGAATTATTTTGTGTTCATCTTCACAATAATTATATATGCCTCTTGACTGCCTTTTCAGTTTACATGTAAAATTAGCATTTTGCCAACTTTGTAATTGTTTAAAAAATAGTGATGAAAAGTCTGGTCCTCCAGAGAATTAGTCTCAACTTAATGTGAACAGGTACAAATTTAAATTCCCAGTTATATGAGGTGTAACAGAAATTTCTAAAAGCGTAACTTTTACCTATATGCATAGCTATTTAGATATGTATTTACCTTCTGTATTTTATTATTTTTCAGACAAGTATAAAAGAAGGATTACTACTGAAGCAAACCAGTTCTTTTCAGAGGTGGAAAAAGCGTTATTTCAAACTTCGAGGTCGTACCCTTTACTATGCTAAGGATTCAAAGGTAATTCTATGCTACTAGTGTCCAATACCATATACCTGTAACTTCAATTTTGTTTGGATTTATAAGTTCAATAACAATTTAATGATTTAATAGTGATGTTTTAATTAAAAAACTGCTGTATATAAGATGTAGCGTGTTAAAATTAACTAAGGAAGACTGGTGATTTCTCTTGATTTTTTTTTTTTTTTTTAAACAAAGTTTATCACAGTTATTTTAACCTTTTTGACTATTCAGAGAAATAATAAATTCATCCTAAGGAGTTGTGGGGCTTTTTTTTGGGGTGGCTCTCAGGCAGTCAAATTTAACATTTCAAAAAAGAGAGTAAAAATTGGATAATGCTCAGAAGTTATCCCTCAAACTGAACTCCATTAAAACTCTTCTCATCTGATGCTCATATTGCCATTAAAGAGGTGGAAATGGTTATGTGAAATCAAGGTTGGAAGATTTTTCTGCCAAAACTGATATATAAGGGAAAAAGCTGTTTCCGATCAACTGAAATTTTTGGTGGGAAAATTGAGGGTGGGCCGAGGGGAATAATTGTCTTCTTCCCGATAGGTGTTTCCTCCCTCCCCCTCAGGGCCGGGACTGAGAGCATTTTGGCTTGTTGGGCTGGCTCAGTTTGTGCTGTTCCATAGGGGTGGGCTTTACTTTTCTTTATCCTACAGAGTTGCAGTGACTCACGGGAGCTGCAGGTGAGGTGCTTCAGGTCTCTATCATCTTCTACACCCTGGTCTTCTCAGTAAAACTATTACTAAGGCATGGAGACTTGTCTTTCTAGAACTATATGAGTATAATTGCCTGATGCACAGTTGGGTGGCTGTGGTGAATCAAGGAAAACATCATCTCTACAGGGAGGCCAGCGCTGAAGTACCTCTGTTGTCACACTTCTCTGCACATGGTGATACCACCAGCAGCTTATAGAAAGATTTATTAAACATGGCAGATAAGAGCTCTGAGAACGGCAATGTCATCTGTGCCATAAAGATGAAATAGGGAGGTGTAATGGGTAGGCAATTGTACAAATACTCTGTAACGTTGAATCCAGACATGGTGAAATTCCCTCAACATCGATTTTTCTTCCAATGGCATGGAAGAGGAATAAAATGTTATGGCTAAAAACAGGAGGAGGCATTTTTGTTGGTCTTCCCTTCTGTGCTTCAAAACCCATTAGTTTAACAGAACCTAATTAATCCTTTGCCTGAAGCTGGGGTGTTTAAAGAAGATAGATATTTCTCTTGCTAGAACATCAGACAATGGAGTGAAAGGGATCTCTTCAGAACTTCGAGCTCTGTTTTTTCGTATGGATATTGTATCATAGATTCCCCTTCATGAATTTAAGTTCCATCCTAAAACTTATTAATTAATTTGTATTTTACTAAGTGTGAATCTCTTTTCTCTGACACCACATTTATGCTACACAGGAGACACCGCAAAGCTGCATCTATTTAAAAAAAAAAAAAAAAAAAAAAATATTTAGAAGAGATTTTAAAGCAATATCTATTTTTCAAGCCACTTTATGCTGTTATGTACCACTTAGCAAATAGGACTGTGTTTAGGGGTCAAATAGGAAGTTTTATCACATCATCAGTCTTTTATGTTTTTTTCACCTCTTTTTTTTCTATTTTTATTTCCCAGTCAGAATGGACACAAGGAAATGAAAGCACAGACTGTAAGCATACCTGAAAGTGGTCTCGGACTATACTTAATGTTATGTTCTTTCCCATTCACAGTCTCTAATATTTGATGAAGTTGACCTGTCAGATGCCAGTGTAGCTGAATCGAGCACAAAAAATGTCAACAACAGCTTCACGGTATGGAACCATTATAATACTGGTCTTGAAAGCTATGGATAGACTGTTACTAAGAAAATCAAGAGTCCTCTGAATTGTTTCTTATTTTCTTCTATTTGGAAATAAAATTTATTTTATTTGGAAATGGTATAATGTATCAGAATAATATCACATCAGCTATTGATAATTTTGTTTCTGTGGGTTTTTTTTTTTAGCAGAAATTAGAAGGTTAGATAACAGTTTCTTCAAGGGATGATGATAGAAGGCATTAAAAATTTAGCAAGATTCAGTAGTAGTACTTTGTTACTACTTATTAATACAGCTTGGTTTTATGCTGTAGTTTGTCTCTGAGGTGACATGCTGAATTGATTAGAATGTAATCGTGTTGTTACTATAAGAAATTGAAACAATATTTTTGGTTTTCTGTTATATTGAAGTGTATTTTATTATTTTTTGTCGTTGATCATATCCCTGTATGTTTCCAAGTCATGTGGAAAAGCTGTCTCCACGGTTGTACCTTGATTCTGATACTAGTATGAGAAGCAAAGAGTGTTCATAAATCCCTGTTTCTGTAAGTTCACAAGTGTGTTTTACACACAGGTCTTGCCATTTATTTTTCAACTGCTTTGTTGGAACTAAGTGGTAACGTCTTACACAGTTCCTCTGCTGATTCTTAACTTCTGGAAAAGTACATTTTTTGAACAAGAACTAGCTATGAGGAATATTGTGGATAAAGTTGTCCTTCCGAAGGTCTTGAGTTTTCCCACTGACTGCAATGGCATCATTTTTCTTAACCTGCAGTTCCCATTATTTTCTATTAACATGTTGATTTTCCATTTTCCTGAGGATTTGAATTTCACAGGTGGTCCATGTTACCAGTGTTGGTTGTTGATCTCCAAGGCAGTCCTATGCAAGCCTCAGGTCTTCCTTGATGTGGTACCTCCCAGGCAGCTACTGAAGTAGTCAGGGTACTTCAAAGTCATGTTTGCATTGGCCTGAACAGTCCAGCGCCTTATGTCAATCTAAGTTTCTTTACTGACTAAGAATCATGTTAAAAATACTACTTTGATGGAAGGTCTCAGGTGAGGGGGTGGCTGTGTGAGGTACCAGCTTGCCTTTTGGAAAGGTTCTTTCTGTTGCTTAGAAGCTCTGCTTTTCCCTTGCTCCTGGCCAGAAGTAAAGCTGTCATGCAGGCATTAGGATAGCTGAGGAATAATGTGGTGTACAAAGATAATGAGTTGAGGATTCCAGCAGTCATGACTGTCACTTATTGTTCAAGATGGGATATAAGGTTCAGTATCCCCTAAAGACTGAAACTTCCTTCGCTGTAGTCTCCACTACAGGAAAAAGAAAATTAAGAAAACTCTGGCTATAATATGTTCACTGAATCATGAAATAGGACTTTCAACCTAGCAATCTAGATAGACCAGAGAGCTGGGTAATCACCAACTGTATGAAATTTAACTGGAGTAAGTGCTGTATTCTCCACCTGGGACAGGGTAATCCTGGTTATTTGTACAAATTGGGGGGGGGGGGGATGAGAGGCTGGAGTGCAGCCGCACGGAAAGAGATCGGAGGGGTTTGGGTTGATGGCAAGATGAATATGAGTGAACAGTGTGCCCTGGCAACCAGAAGGGCCAACCGTTTCCTGGGGTGCATCAGGCACAGCATTGCCAGTCCTACAGTGCACTGGTGCAGCCCCACCTCGCGTTCTGTGTGCAGTTTTGGGCACCCCAGTATAAGAAGGACATCAACATGTCCAGAGGAGTGTGACCAAGATAGTGAAAGATCTTGAGGGAAAAACTTAGGAGGAGCAGCTGAAGTCGCTTGGCTCGTTCAGCCTGAAGAAGAGAAGGCTGAGGGGAATAAAAGTAGCATGCTTTTGGATTTGTTTCTTTCTTTCTTTTCTTTTTTTTTTTTTTTTTTTTTCCCCTTACAACGTTTGGCAGTATGGTATCCTTTATCATTCTCTAGGCCTTCTCAGTATCTAATTCTTCACCAAAAATGTCTTTTGTATCTAGTATCAAGACTTCTGGGGAAGACAGTAGTGAAAAGAAATCACAGGGCCTACAGCTTTAACAGCTTTTGAGACACTATTTATTTTCATGTCCTGGGTAATTTAGGGCAAACAGTGTTTTCTCTAAGGAGTCTTGAAATTAATTTTGAAAAATTATTTGGATTTGTAGCTCTCCTGGATTGAAGTGTCATCTGATTTGACTGTGCGGTATGGTAACAGTTGTCATCTCACTTAATCTTTTGGCTTCTTTCTTTGTGCTTGCCTAACCCAGTCTCCCAGCAACACAGCTCCGTGAAATGAGACATCCCTGGCCTTGCCTGCACTGGTTTGGAGTAGGGTGGGTAGTTAGCTTCTCAGCAATACTCCTTATAAATAAAAAGAAATGTTTCTTTTTGCCTTTTTTTTTAAATTCCATCTTAAAAAAGATAATACAGCCTTTCTTAAAATTACTTTCTTTTTTTCTTTATATTCTAAGTGCTCTGTTAGCATTCTCTTTGTTAAAAGAGCAAAAATTAAATCCTTAACTCTAGGTCTCTCTAGTTAATGTACTCGTTGTTTCTTTGTCCCAATAGTGAATATTTTTAACGCAAACTTGCATAGGTGGGATATACACCAAATAACCATTTTTCCAGAAAAACACAAATTTAAAAATCTACATGATTTTTTTTTTGGTTTTTGTTTTTTTTTTACAAATCCTTTTGTCATTTTGCTTAAATCCCTCTCCCTGTCCCTCAGTCTCCCACTACCAACTTGCAGAAGCTAGTAGTTTGCCTTCTGTTGCCCTTTCTGGTTTGTCTGTTTGGAGACAGAAGTGTGCGTGTAAAGATTTTCCATGCTCTCTTTTTTGGATAAAACTCAAGTCCTAAAATTAGTCATGACACGCAAATTTAAGGCTGAGTTTATTTGTAATGCACATGCTTGCAGAATATTTTATGTAACTAAATATCAGTGTTTATTCACCAGAATTACTTTTCCTTTCTTGCTACAAACAAATTGAGATTAAGGGGAAAGTTGAGATAAATAAATATTTGCTAATTAAAATGAGAAGTTGCTAAACTTAAACCAGCTCATCTGTTTCAGCCTTTTCTTTATTGCTGATGATACTACTTTTCAGTGAACAACCAACTCATTTCTGACAAATAGTTCCTAGTGCACTGGCTTGCACTAGGGTGCCTTATAATAGATTATAGGTGTTTTGTAGATCTGAGCATCCTCATCTAGAGGCTATTAGAGGAAAACGTGACCCTTGACTTCAGAGTCTTTACATGAGACCCTCAAGGCCAGGTTCTTCATACTTGCTTGTTAGGTACCAGTCTCCTAAGTCTGTGGGAAGAGAGAGGAGAGGTTCAAGAAGCCAATTCAGCCCATCAGAGATGTGCATCACCCTCTCCATCAGCCACAGCAGGAGCCCACAGGGGCTTTTCCTCACCCCACGCGGGCAGTTCAGTGGCGTAGGCGAGCGCCGCGTTCTCATCATGGTGTCAGGTACTCTGCTGAATGTTTTTTCCACAGCACTTTGCTTCTGCCTCGGAGGGTGGTTTATGTTGTCTCAGCACAACCAGAGGAGTGTAGTTGCACAGCATGTTACCTCTTTGGGGAAATTTTGGGGATGAATCAGTCTCCTATCCTTATTGCATGCAAGCAGATGATGCAGTGACAAATTCTGCTGAGAGCTGAAAATCCTTATGCGTTTTGGTTTGCAGGGATGGAAGATGGCTTGTTGATATCTCAGGTACATTTAGAAAAATCTCTTCATTGTTCTCAAAACAAGACTTGAGACTGAATGAGGCTGAATAATGCTCTCCTCCATGCAAGCATGGACATGTGGAACTTTGGTGGCGTGCTTTTGTTCTAATAAGTATAAGGAATGGGATTTTTAAATGATAAAATGATTCCTGAACAGGCATATTCAATTAATGATGTTCCTCATGGCAACAAAGGTTATTATGAATTGTGATTTAAAAGGAGATTTTGACTTAGGTTATCTTTTGACTTAGGTTTCTACCTCTGCCTTGCTTTTGATGGTGAAGAACTGATGCACATTGATGAGGAAAAAAATCTGTAGATGTTAACCATGCTGCCTTTCGGCTGTTGAGCCACATGGATGTGTAAAATGCCCTGGGTTATTATAAGTCTATCCTAGAGTCTTTGCATCGTGTGGTAGCACCTGTATCTAATTCATTGAAACTGATGTTTGAAACATTTAATTCCGTTATGGGTTTTTGTGTTAGATGTGATAGAAAATAATAATTTTAGGTTAGAAATAACTGTCTCTGAGGCATTACTCTTTATAGCTGGATTTAGACATTTGATTCGGGTTAGGCCAACTTCTAGTGCATCAAAGAATTACACAAAGCCATGGACGCTCAATTTCTTACTATATGTATATTCAGAAAAGTGAAAATCCTTTCTAGATTAATTCTGTTATCTAATTGAGTCTGAGAGTAACAGAGGAAGTAATTTCACTCTCGTTCTGTAAGGTGCCCTCCAGGAATATGAGAATTAACATACTAGATGGTACTCAGGATGGGGATTCAGCTTGCCCTAACTTCAGGGTGGGACTCAGTGATGGATTTATAGACCCCTAAATTTCGGTATCTAGGAAAAGATTAATAGCTCTTTAAAGTAGATTTCTGTAATTGCTCAATTCAGTGTAGATTCCACTGATTATTAAGTAGCTCTCCCTTAGCTACAATAGGAGCTTTGTCATCCAGGGCATCTAAAAAGTAGAGCTCTGCTTTCAGCTTTCTGAATCAATCTTTTTGTTGAATATGCATCTTCTGAAAGTGGTCATCTTGAGAGGGAGGAAGCTGCAGTAAGCAGATCTGCTGTCCTGGAAAGCCTACTGCAATTCTTAGTAATTAGAAATTGGCCAGAAATGAGACTTTATATTCCAACCAGTAACACTGATTATTAGGATTCTGTGTATGCTTGCAAAAATGTCTAATATCATAAATTTTTGCTGAATCCTTGATTATAGGGATGCTATAGACCATATAGACCA